TTATTTATTTATTTATCTTTTTTGAACAAATTTTTACAAGGGACGGGTCGAACCTAGCCCAGGGGAGGGGGAAAATGCACATTGAGTGGCATTGCCACTTGAGCCAAAAGGCTCGGTACATATATTAATTTATTTAATAATATATTATTTATCCTAAATTTTCATCATCTATCTCACTACTTATGCTGATTATAAACTTAACAATTTCCTTGGCCCTCAAAAAAAACCAAAAAATATTGTAGGCAGTGGCAATCACTAATTCACTATGCTCAGCTTTGTCGATATTTGGGGATCTTGAAACCTTCGAGAGCCTCATTCTACCATTGCATTGGCCTTATGGTAGATCAATTAGTCCATATGAAAACCATAAATTTCTTAAATTACCTATACACCCAAAAAAACAAATATTTTGAGATAGGGGAAGTAAGAATTTCGTAGAGTCCCACTTAATATCCATCTTTCATTTTCTCTTTTGAGATTAATTGTGGATTTTCCCTTGCATCCCTTTAAATTATGATCTATATTTAATATTTTTAACTAACAAAAATTTAGCCAACTTCACACATGCATTACCCATAAAACTTTATTAAGATCCAGAGTCGTATAATATTAAACAACTAATTTAGATGTACCGAAGAGAGAAACAGAGTAGATTCCTTCCGTACTTGCGGAAGCCATAATTCCTTAATTTATTAAAATCTGTAACATTTTACAAGGATTGATATTGTCGGGATCATTTCTAAAACACTTTGCCTAGCTCATAGGCAAGCACACGTGCACACATAAGCAAAAAAAAGGAGAAAAAAATTAGAACAGAGCTCCTCTGTTGTCATGGAGACAAAAACTTACTGTGGCAGTGGCGGTGCGCCGGTGGCGTTGGCTTATGTTAGCTATCAGTTCTTCAAGTTTCTGATACATATATATATTAGAGATTCCGTTATCAGTTTCAACATCAGTAGATTTCTAATTACTCTTTCCGGCTCAAATTGCCTACCAGCACTGGTCGCTTTCCCAGCTCCTTCCGTGGTAACCGGAAAACCTAGAAGATGCGGAAGTCAACGGCTTTCGAGGCCTCCATAGGAGCTTGCTGTCATAAACGGCGCGTTTTTCTGGGTCCGACAGGGTGCTGTAAGCAGCGTGGATTTTCATGAATTCGTCAGCCGATGAGTCTTTCCGACCGATTGCCGCCACGTCAGGATGACAAACCCTCGCCAGTCGTCGATATGCCGTCTTGATCTCCTGGTTGCTGGCTCCCACTGGTATACCCAGAACCTCGTACAGCGACGTGCAGGATGCCATACCCTGAGGTCTCAGATAACGAGATCCCTGTTCTTCCCTGGAAGTATAACGGCTGGCGGTCGCGGCGGTGGCATGCGGAGGACAGAATCGGGTTCGGCGTAAGGTTACAGGAGGTGGGTTCGGAGAAACGTTGAGTTTTGAGAAGGGGACGAGCGAGGATGAGAGAGGACGAGAAGAGAGCATGTTAAGATACTGTTATGGAGGTATGGTGGTGGAAGATGGAAATGGAGGATCAAATATATAAAACGGAAAAACTTGTTTTGGGGTTTTGGCCCTTTTGGGATTTTTAACTAGGGTTAAGTGACTATTAGAGAGGGTTAAGTAACTTAAGTTAAAAAGGACAAGGCTAATGCTCATCCCATCTTCTTGGATTAGTTTTCAATTTTGATGACTCCGTCAAATGCTTCAGCTGAAAAGTATCATTGCTCTTTGCCCTTTTTTTACTCAATGAAATTGACAATAATATGGTTAAAATAATGGTAAATTTACAATTTTGATATATTATTAAAAATATATATAAGATAAATGATAAGTTTTTAAATAAAAAATTAATTATATGGTAATATATTAAGATTATAAATTTATTATACTACTTAATATTGTACATATGTTATTTTTATGATGAAATAAGGTAAAATTCATAATTCTAATTTGTAAACACCCAACTTCTTGTCTTTGAATTGGGGTCCCTTGTCTAGTTGTCTCAATTCTTCTCATTAGATTTTTCCACGGGTTTTTGCATTTTATTCTCTAAATGAATATTACTTCGATATCGGCTTTAAGAGAAGCACACCTCAAAACCTGGCTATTAAGATGAGGAAGTTCGAGGCCGTATAAAGTTATAAACTTTCACGCTAAATTCATAAATTTTAGATGTACGGTTTGGGTCTTCATATTTTGAAATTGGAATTGTAATATAAATTACTAAAAAAATAAATTTGGATATATTTTTACTTTTAGAATACATTAAAAGTGTTTGTGTGGATTTATAATTGAGATCACACATTTTGGGTGCAATTTAATACAAACCAGGATATAGAACGACCCCAAAAGATGGGTTAACGTTGCCCATTTTAGGGAGCAAGAAGTTTATGAACTACGTTGAATGATCCATTGAGATGGGTAACTCGGAAGAGACTTAGAGGAAACCAACTCTTTCCAATTTTTATTTTTTCTAACTTAATTTGTAATTCTAGATGATATTTTTATTTTGTGGTATATGAATGATAATCACAAAATTTTTTCTTTTATACATAGTTTTGGTTGAAGATTTATATTTAATAAAAAATAATTCTAGTTCATATACCATATATATAATAGGTTAAATCCTCAATTTGGTCCCTAAATTATTGTACGGACCCCCGATTTGATCCATGAACTAAAAAAATTCCTAATTTGGTTTTTGAACTATTGTACAAACCCCCGATTTGATCCTTACTATTTACTAATTTGCCCCAAATTAGTCATTCCGTATAAAAAAAACTGACGTGTCTAGTATTTAATGGCGAAAAACAGTAATTTAACAGTAGAAAACAATAACTTAACGATCACGTGTCAAGTTAATAATGAGACATGTCAACTGTTTTTTAGAGAAAGACCAACTTGGGGCAAATTGGTAAATAGTAGGGATCAAATCGAGGATCCATACAATAGTTCAGGGATCAAATTATGGATTTTTTTTAGTTTAGGGACCAAATCTAGGGTCCATACAATAGTTCAGAGACCAAATTAAAGATTTAACCTATATAATAATATAAGCTAAATTTAGGTTAAAAAAAAAAAAAGGTTTAACAACAAATAAAAGAGGAAAAGAAGAATATAAAGTTTGTAACAGCATAATTGATAATATATCTCCTCTTATCTCCATAAAAGTTGGCCTAATCTGTGGCTCTCCTCAAGGATTCTCTTGTCCCCTACTTTACCAAATTATACTAAAAAAGAAGAATGCCTTTTCTGCATATTACACTTAAAGCTTTAGAAAAAAAACTCAATATACTGTAGATATTTTGTTATTAGAGCAATAAACTAAATGTAAAACCCCTTTTTTTTTTTCTCCTTTTTCCTAGTGATTAAAAACACAATCAATTGAAGGCGGGGGTTGACTGGGTTCACACTTGAAGATGATGTTTTCTTCTTTTTAATTCCCCCTTTAGACGTTGCAGTAGTAATGTGCTTCACGACTTTGCTAAATCCAATTGGGATCCATCATAGCTTCTAGAATGTCTAAACACATGTCTATCCCTTTCCTTTTCTTCTGGAAGATATTTTCTTTCTTTTTTTTTTTTCTTTTTTTTTTGTGTTGCTAGAATAAAAACAGTGGTAACATCTAATCCTATAAAAAAATAAAATCCGAGTATACATTGCATATAAATATAGGCCCACCACAACACTTGTACTTTTGTTTGGATGAACGGATACGATGTCGATGCATGGTGAAGAAGACAACACCATTAAAAGTTTGCATTTTCGCCGCTACTTGCTGGGTTAGTCATCACCCAATTTTTTTGTCCATCTTGTGAAAGTCCTACGACGTGCTCTCTAGAAGATCTAAATATGTGGATTATACCATACATGACCTTGTCAATGGTCACCAATCTGTTTTTTTCTTCTTCTTTTGCTTCCTTTTGAAATGTCTTCAAAATATTGGAAGTTTAATTTAGGGTAATTGAATAGTTGTACGTAAGGGTTGTATTATTGTGATTGAGATTCTTAGCTCTAGGGGCGGCCAAGAGTCATGTTGCCATTTCGTCAAAGAAAAGAGGCCTCACATTTTTTAGGAGAGTTACATCATTACCCTTGAGTTTTTTATCCATTTTTGTCCCCTTAATAGGTGTAGGGATTTAAGCCAATCTAGTATGGATAAAGAAGATGCAAGCAATTAATCAGTTAAGTTACCAAAGGGGTTCTAGACTAATTGACAATAAAATTTGTTTCTCAGTGTTCGAACCTTGATAGAGATTAATAAGATGATATATAATTTTTTATAATTTTTTTTTTTTGATGTAAATGACTTATATTTAATCAAATTTAAAAAATAGACTTAATATCGTGCATGGCTTATTTACTATATAAAATCTAGTTAAGTTATAAGTTCACATGAGTTAATTAATATCTTACATATACCTTAATTATGGGGAATAAAAACCCTAATCTAGCCATCAAACTTTGATTTATAGCCTTATTTCTTACGCCTGTCAATTACGCTTTGCTCTAGTTTGAAAACTGAAAAGTACAGGGACTGTATTAATCAAACCAAGTTGAACTCTAGCAGGGCTTTCTACAAAAAGTTAAAAGTCTAGGGACTGGTTTAAGGGTTTCCCCGTTTATTAATTAAGCATACTTTCTTTTATAAGAAAATTTGAGCATATTTTCTTAGTATTAGGGTTTGTAAAGTTAGTATTTTGTCATATATTTATATAAAAAATATACAAATAAACATTAATTTTAACATCATTACTATATAAATAAATTTAATTATATATTTAATAAATTAAAAATTAATTTTTAATTTATTAAATATAAATTTATAATAAAAATATATTTATTATACAATTAACATTTACCTTCAATACACGTGTTAAAAAAACCGTTTTCTGGTTGCCACTTGACAAGTGCCCTTCGTCGTCCACCATTAACCATTCATATTTCATAGCACCTAGTGCCTTCGCAAGAATGACAATTGCCTAGAAAAAGAAATGTTCTATTTTATTTTAAAAATCATTCAGCTGCAATGATTTCATTGGCAAGGAGGACTAGCAAGTGGTACTAGGATACTAGTATTTGGAGATGAGACGAGACGACAGAGACTAGACTAACTATTTCTTTATTGGATGAACGGCTCTAATTTATTATGCCAAAGCATTGCGACTCTCTCCACTTGCATTGCATGCTTTACTTCTTTCACTTTAATTGACATATAGTCCAATGGCATGCACTATATATGTTACATTAATTATAGGTTAAACCTTTAATTTGGTCCTTGAATTATTGTACAGATCTTTGATTTGATCTCTGAACTAAAAAAACTCTTGATTTGGTCCGTAAACTATTATACAAACATCTAATTTGATCTTTATTGTTTATCAATTTACTCCAAGTTGGTCTTTCTATACAAAAAATAATTGACATGTCCATTATTTAACAACAAAAAATAATAACTTAACAATAAAAAATAGTAACTTAACGGTCACATATCACGTTAATAACAAGACACGTCAGTTGGTTTTTGTACGAAATGACCAACTTGAGATAAATTGATAAATAGTAAGGACCAAATAAGGGTCCGTACAATAATATAGGGATCAAATTGAGGACTTAACCTTAATTATGATATATCAATAGGAATTCATAATTATCTATGTGAATTTTTCTATAAGTTTGAAGTTTTATGCTTGAATTTAAAATAAGATAAAAAAATATAAATATAATAAATTTAAATTTTTAAAATTTTAAATTTAACATTTCATAGTCTCGAAACTGTCTTAATTAGAGGCATGAATAAAGTTAGGGTGATTAAACAGTTTGTCAATATTTTGTTAAGGATAATTATTACTACTTTAGAATATATCTTGTTTATGTCTACTTGATTAATTAATTGTAGAAATTAAACGGGGAGTTGGGGTCCTTCTGGCATGTCACTTAGGGAGGTGGTCTACTAGAATGATATCGAAATCAAACAAATTGACAAAGATACACCTTCTCTGTTACCAGTGGTTAACGTTGTCTGGATGGCTCATATTCTAATTTCGTGGGTTGAAAATTCGATATTGGTTTCAGCTCAATTATCCCAGTACTTGTTTGCGCCTTAATAACGGTGCTGCGACTCTTGACAAATAGAGAAAAAGACAAAAAAAATTCAATCAGAAGCTGGTCATGAGGAGATCAATTCACGGGATTAAGATGACTAGTAGATTAGGCCTCCACCTAGACTCGGCATGGTTATTATCAAATATAAATATGTTGAGTAATGATAGGCGGGCGGTTTTGGAGACAAAACCGGAAGACAACAAGTAAAGCAATCTCAACAAAAATTATTAATTTGACCCTGCTTTACTTGTCGTTCTCCGATTTTGTTTCTCAAAATCGTCCCGCTTATCATTACTCAAATATATTAAAGTAATACAAAAATTTTATGTATATATGTATGTATTTAGTTCAATTGTTAAAAAAATAACTATAATTATTTGTGGATAGTTTTTTTTCTTTTTGTGAATAGTTAATAAAATAATTAATATCTATTATTTAACAAATTAAAATTAACTTATAAGTTGATGTTTCTAAACACTCTGGCTAATAATAGATTGATAAAATTAATCAAACCAATCATATTTAAAGCATTTTAATGTGACTTTTTAACATATATGTGGGGCAATAATCATGGCGGCTAGACTCAAGAAGACACCGTGTAACAAAGTCTGTCTTGTAGAAACGCCACTTGGAACTTGAAATGAGCATGAGAAAGTTAATGATACTTTCTTATCTTTTGGGTTGTTCTACTAGATGGGTCACTGAAGACCTTTGGTCTCTACCCGGACTCAATGACAAAAATGAGATCACTTCTTATGGGTTTGCTCAGAATGATTCTGATTTAGCTCATGGCCTATTCAAAGTAGAAAGCACTTTGGTGGGATCCTCACGGACAGACAAAGAATGCAGTCAGTTTAATAATGATCGTGTCACATTGCTGAGGGTACAAAACAATTTACAAAAAGGATGGTGTTAAGAAAGGCAATGCAGCACTAGGGCAATAAGCAGTAGTGTAGCTGCTACTGGGTAATTTTCACATCCCTGGGTTTCAAAATCTCCAGATGAATGCCGATTAAAAAAAAAATTCTGAATATGAATGATCAAATATCATTTCTGCCTTGATTTCACAGAAGCCCATCGAAAGAAACCGCAGTTTGCCTCAGGATTAGAAGCAGGTCCCTGTAAGAACAAAAGATGGTAACAGCTCAGATTAATTCTTATATCATGCATACATCCTTAAAGACGGTTAGTATATGATGAATATGTTAAGATCACCTCATTGATTAATAAAACATAAAGACAAGAGGCTACCTCAGCTCGAGCACAGACATAAAATCTGTGACCAAATGTGGGACCTGGTTTCTTCACTACACGAGCAACACAAGGTTCCTTGTGACCCTTACAGAGAGGTATACTATTCTGCATCAGTCTTTGTATCCTTTGCCACTCGAGTATGGCAGCATCATTTTTCCTTTTCTGCAAACAAGTGTTGTCTTGTACATCTTGATCCTGTGAGACTGGACTTGAGTTCAACTCATTCTGTTCTGGACGGCTGCTATGATCATCTGCCATGGATTCATCATAAGCAGAACTTTGAATGCTGTGGCTGAGATTTGAGCTTTTCTGGAAAAATGATCTCAGGGACAGTTGCTGACTTTTTCTTGCCTTTTTCTTGGTTTCTCTGCTGGGTGCTGAAGAAATATTCTCACCTCCCAACGTAACTGAGGAGTTAGTCACAGGACTCACAGCCTCAACAGTGTAATCTCTGGAATGCTCATCCTGTTTAAAAGTACCACCACCAGAGTCTTGGTCCGAAGGAGAACAAGATTCATTGGTCTCAGATAAATTAGAGTTGTCAAGTGATCTTTTTCCACTATCCCTGCAACTGTCTGCCAAGCTACTCCCATCCAAGAATGAACTTGATGCTTCAAAGGATTCGACTGGTTCGCAAACTTGCCGTTTCATTAACACTGACACTGTAAAATACACAAATGAAAAGATAATAAAATTTGAACAAAGATTCCCTCTAAGGCCTGGACAACTTTACAAGAAGATATTATCTACTTTAGTCGAAATATACAATTATCAACAGGAAAGATTGCAAAGAATGAACGTACAAAGTGATGAATGGAAATTATCGTTATCATGTTCTATGGCAACAAGAACAAGCAACAGTTTTCAACCACATTTAACACAGTAGAAACAAACATTGGAAAAATGGAATCTTATATTAAACCAGAGATTAATTTAGATGAGGGGGTGGACCAAGAGGATATTCAAAGAAAGGGTTCAAAATCCCTTTGACAGGAAAATAACAATACTACTGCAGTTTGAGAAATTTTCCAATCTCAAGCATCATCTGATAATGTTTACTGCCCCATACTCTTAAAAGGTTCTAAATTCAACAAAGATAGGAGTATCTCATACCAAGAGTTTGCTGCTGACCATGAATCATTGGCAAATACCTAGCAGCTAAAGATGGACTGCTATGTTCTTCAACATTAGCAATTTCCACCAAACTTGTATAAACAGGAACATGGTCTGAACCTTCCAGCTTAACATTCCATCCTCCTTTCCACCTGTGTAGAGAAACATGTACACATTTTCATGTGGGTATTTAGATCTTCAAATATTTAATGGGGAATTAGATACCTTTACAAAGTTGTACTTCTAACTAAAACAACAGGGTTATTACCACAAATCTAGAAAATGCACAATTTTCATATTCATAAAAAAGGGAAAAAAATCCAAGTAAGATGGCTACTGAGTAATCTGAAAGCAGGATTGAAATTGGAACATATACTACCAAGCAATAGTAATAGGTTTCAGCCATTCCTTGATTCAACTACATGATTGGACCTAACTTTTTACCTGGGTGCATCTCCAGGTTTCCACCGTTTGTACTCTGTCAATATGTCACACTCCTTCACATGACAAGATATAAAATTGTGTCCTTTTAGGTCATCCTCTTGATGTAAGCATGATCCAGCATAAAGAATATGATCAATTCTAGTCCCATAATTAAATTGTTCAGCCCCAGTATTTGATGGCCAACATGTGTATGCTTCTCTTCTGTAGAATAGATTGAAAGCAACTAAACCTTTGGAACTTTAAATGGATAAAAGCATTGCAGCAAAGTATGCTAAGAGTCAAGAAGTGTCTTAAATTACTTAGTTCTTATGAAGCAAGACTTCAAAAGTTCATATGTTTTATGCAGGGTATGGTAAGATCAACAAAATATGGGGAGTTGAAATCTACTTTCTCTGCCACGAATTTTGGTTGACCAACCAAATGAGACCCAATTAGGTGGTCAAATTCATATTTGTAAACATAAGATAAATGGTTATTTATCAACCGAAATGATGTTAACACCATTTGGAACAAATTTGAAACCTCTGAGGATGTATTGCTCTGAACACATCAAAGAAATGTCCTCCAGATTCCACTAGGATAGATCTAAACCATCTTCTGAACCTGAAAATGAATTCATATGAATTTATAAAAATACTGGCTTTTCCATGGAAAAACAGTGATGATAGACACAACTACTGCTCGGTATAAAAGAGGAAAAAGCTTACTCATTCTTCTCAAAATCTGGCCCTGCATCACAACGATCTATTGCAGAAGGAGCAATGTTAAGGTCACCAACAACAAAAATCCTCCTTCCACGATGCAATAAAGACTCCCATCTTTTCTACAACAAAGATTAAAAGCATCAGCCAAAGATAAAATCACACTAATCCAACAAAAATAATTCAGAAAACCAAAATCCAACTGTTCACTGGAATAAATCCACATTGGCATCCACATCTTAAGAATGAAAAGTGGAGACAAAATACATACTGGGTGGTGAATGATAAACCAAAGTCAAAATTGATACTATTAAAGCAATGAACTTTAACATGAAGCATTTTTTACCTGTAATATCTTGAAAAAATCGAGCTTAAACTGGATCCTATCCTCGTCATCAGATCCAGCTCGAGGTCCATACACATTAAAAAGAACTGAACCATACAATACAATTAACAGGCAAAACATTAACCAAGATTCAACTTTGAATCATGGGGTCCTTTTGCAAAGGACATATCAATAGTGCCAAGTTGAAAACGCACCAAAATGACCATGATCCGTGATAATGCATCTCCCCTCACCATCAATCTTTTGAAGCTCCTCCCTTGAAAACTCCTCAAGCCCTTCAGCTCTAGAACCTGCTAGAAGTCCCGTGAAACCTTCCTCGGCTGCAATTGGCAACGCAGTTTCGTTGCTGGAAAATGCCGACTTCACTCGGCAGAACGTGGCAACGCCTAATAAGCAAAAACCAAAAAAATTGTGATTGAGGCATCAAAATAAAACTTTTTAGTCTCTAATTGAGGAATGACAACTTCGAATTGTATTTGTATTCATTGCGTCAAACAAGCAAACACCTTACCGGAGTACCCAGTTCGTCCTCTGTCGGAGGTGCGAGTGCACGAGAAGAATGACTCATAACCCTCTGCCATCACCAAATCTGCCGTTAATTCTTGCCTTCTTATTTTTGTTTCCTGATTCCATAAAATAAGAATTTTATGAAAAAAAAAAAAAAAACATGTAGCGAGAAACAAGGATGAGACGGAACCTGAAAGCAGATGATATCGGCATCGAAAGAGATGAGTAACTTGAGGAGGGAACCGAATTGTGAGATGCGTTGCCGGAGGCCATTGACGTTGTAAGTCACTATCTTCATTCTTCATCGGCGACGACAAGACCCTGTCCTCCCTTCTCTTCTCTCCTAATTCCCTCTCTCCCGGAGAAAAAGGTGAGCCAAATATAAACGACGTCGTTTTCTTATAATATATTTTTTGGTATTTACGATCGACTCTCCAGCCAACCTTCACATAGCGCGATATTACTCCATCCCAATTATCTTAAAAAAACCGCACTCGTATATCAATTTGTTATTAAAAAGGGCAAAAAAAAAAGGAGCAATTTGAGAGAATGAGGAATGGGTCCGAGGGGTTTTTTTTTTTTTTTTTTTTTTTTATCTTATTTGCTTAATAAAAAACAATTATTTTTTATTTTTTATCCCATCTTACTTATATGTTATAAAACTAAAACTTAAGATTTTTTGTCAAAGAAGTTGATACCATACTGTACCGGTCATATCGATTTTTGCATTAAATCAAAATAGTACATGATTAATTTTATTTTAGTCAAATTTCATTCATTTTGATCAAATTTTAGTATATGTCTGATATTTTGATGTACCAGCCGGTATCGGAAAATTTTTCCGTACAATTCAATTTAAATTTAAAAAAAGTAAATTTTATTTTTGGTCCTCAACTTTAATATTTTACATAATTTTCATCTTTTAACTTTTTATGTACTTTTTTAATCCATCAACTATGAAAAATGTTTTTTTTTAGTCTTTCTATCAATTACTTCGTTAAATTTGTTTAAATATATATATTTTTAGTCTTTTAACTTAAAGTAGATGGACGATATATACATATCTTTTAACTTTTTATGTACTTTTTTAATCCATCAACTATGAAAAATGTTTTTTTTTAGTCTTTCTATCAATTACTTCGTTAAATTTATCTAAATACATACCTTTTTAGTCCCTTAACTTAAAGTGGATAGAAAAAAAATATGCATATATTTGAAGTTGAGGGACTAAAAATGGCTATTTTAAACTTTTTTTCAATTTATAGGAATGTGATGGTTTTAACATTAGTACCTCTTATCTTATTTTAAAATTTGATATTCAATTTATAAGATTATATATTTATAGCAATAAATTCAAAATGGCATGCGAAAAATTTCAATTTCCGGTACGTATCATTCAAGTAGCAAAATCAATATGCATGCCGATATGATATTGATAACTTTGCTTCTTACTTTCAGTAAAAAAATATGACCGCTAAATTATTTATGCCGTTGGTGGTACGAGGGTTTAAACACGCATTTTACAGGTGCTAATCTTCACTCTAATCAAAGATTCTGTTCACTAGGTTAAGACGCAGAGATCTAATTTGCTACTTTTAAATATTAAAGATTATATTATTTTCAATAAAATTAAATTTTTTGGTGCTATCTAAGACTTTAGAGAGCTCGCCTATAAAAAAAAAGGATACTTATTTGTAGATACATTTTCATACGAATATTTTTGTATAGGTCAATCCTTAACTTAGTTTCCTAATTATTGTATTGATTTTT